GTTTTGAAATGTTTAATAGAGTTTTTTTTTTTTCAAAAAAAAGAAAAGAAGCCGGATGCTAAATTAATCAATTCCATAGGTTGGAATTTTGCTGGTAGCTACTACGAATGTCTATTGCCACCATTTCCACCCCGGCTTTTCATCGTGGGGCAAGGAAGAGCAAAGAAGTTGGAACACATTTTGGACCGGGAGGGCTGCCCAGCCACCGATCTCAGGAAGCAGCAGAGGCCACCCTTCTGGCAGATGTTCAGACAAGAAAGAGATTTTCAGCAGGAATGGACCTTCTCCGGTGCTGCATCCACCCACAGGGATGAATGCTGGTATTGCAAGAGCCACTGGAGTTGAGAGGCCGGAGATCCCACAGCCACCATCTAGTCCAGGGGTCTCCAACCTTGGCAACTTTAAGACCGGAGGACTTCAATGCCCAGAATTCTGGGAGTTGAAGTCCTCCGGGCTTAAAGTTGCCAAGGTTGGAGACCCCTGCTCTAATCAGTCACCAGTTATCAGGGCATTCCCCTCCCCCCACATACTATTTACCTCCCACTCATCCTAGATGGGATTTTCTTGAGCTTAAAATCAATAAGAGATTGCCATATTGGATTGCCCCCCCTCCCACCTCCTGCCGCCTCTGGTGAAAATGCTCCTCCCGGGTTCCAGCTGATGGGAGTTGGGTGCTAAAGGCCCCTGTTGGTTGCACTGGGTCTTGTGTCAGAGTCGCTCTTGCTGGACTCTGCACTGGGAAGCAGATTTGCTGAACAGCCCCAGAATCTGCTGCCTGCTGCTCTGACAATATCTTAGCTCTGGCAGTCTGAACTGAACCTGCTGGTGAGAACGCAGCAGGGACAGGAAAAAGCTTGCAGAACAGCTGCTCATGTGAAAGTGGCTTTGGCAGGGGGTGACAGGCTGGGCTTCCTTCCAGAGAACTGCACAACTCGAAGCCGAAGCTTCTCGTCCAAGAAGCCCAAAGCAACCCCTTAAAGGGGCCCTTCAGCTGGTCAGAAACCCTCATTTTGGCTGGATGGAGCAGCTGGCAGAGAGGGATGATGCCCAGGAGCCTGGCCTGGCCGGCTACCAAGGGGGTCCGGTGGGCTGTGTTAAATACCCAAGCGGAGGGATCTCGCTGTGTGCAGGATCGCCTTCTCCAGATAGCCCGACTCTTTGGAAATCATCATCGTCATCATCGTAAAAAGACGGTGCATAGGAAGTCAGCCACAAGGTGTCGAAATGCGGCAGTTTGAAATGCTGGCCAACTTTTTGAATGCTTGGAATCTGAGGTTGAGTAGAATATCTTTCTCATTATTAGTGGTAAACCCACTTTTACCCCCCCCCCCCTTAGCTGTGGGGCTGGAAGTCGGGGGTAGAAAATGCTGCTGTTTCTACACAGGGTTTGTTGCTTTGGCATATCTCTCCCTTTCCCTCCCTCCCTCCCTCCCTCTCTCCCTCCCTCCCCCCCTCTCTCTCTTTCAGTACTTCTTAAATTGGGAGTGATTCTCCCCCAGGGGGTAATTTGGACACACTCTGTGGCTGTTGGATCAATTGGTCATTGCTGTTTCGGAGCCCCTGGTCCAGGCTGGGCTGCCACTGTTCAGATGCTGTTTGAGACGAAAAGGGCGTCATTTGGCCAAATAATTCACAAACCATATCGCTTCATGTTGACTAAAGTTTGATCTTAATGAAATGAGAGCATGGATCTCGGGTTTCTCTGTGCTCCCGCACCAGCGGCAGAGTTGGTAGCTGGCGATGTTTGGCGTTTCGTCCTGTCAGCCACAACCAGAATCACCCAGGATTGCAAGTGTCCTGAATCCCCAAAGGGGCAGGCAGAGCCTCCCGGTCTGTAGGGAAGAGAGAGAGTCAGCTCTAGGGAGGAGCAGCAGGATTTGGGAATAGCAAACAGAGGGCCCTTGGTGACATTACTCAGGAGCCCTGAGCGCTGTGAGGAGGGCTGCGGGCTTAACTGCGTTTCAAGGGGTTCTCCTTGTTCTAGAACACAAGTGAGGAAAGCTTTGGTCAATGTCTTGGCTGTGGTCATTCAGGAATGGTGTCTGTTGAAGATAGTCATGTTCTGGTCCATGTTCCGGCAGAGGGTTGGACTAGAAAACCCCCAAGGTCCCTTCAAACTCTATCGTTCTGTATTCTGTCTCTGTATTATTCTCCCTTGATTTAGTTCAATTCACTTCGGCCTGCAAAGATCCCATGGAGACTTCAGCTGGTGCTCATGTCTCAGTGGACCTGTCAACACAACAGAACTGCTGTCGGAGCTGTGTTGGCTTTGAGTTGGTTTATAAGTGCCATTCAAGGCGGTTAAAGTCCTACCTAGGATGAGACCCTGAACGCCTGCTGCAGGTAGCATCTGCATGGCCAGGGCACACGGAGGATATCTGCTGAAGGTTCCCCTTGCTAGGACGCTTGGCAGGTAGGGTTCAGAAATGAGCGTTCGCTGTGAGTGCCTCCCCTCACCTCCAGAGTCCCTGGATTGTTTCAAAAGGCCATTTGGGACTAACCACAAGCAATGTGAGATGTTGATGCCGTTGGATTTTGGTATATGCAGTTATTCCTTGTGTTTAGGATACATTTGTGCACTCCACACAAACTGTGTATGAGTTACTAATATATATTAGACAATCGGTGCGCTACTGTCCTTGTTTTAAAGATGTATCCTTACCTAAACTAATAAACAGTGACCAAGGCAGGCACAAAAGCAGTGGGAACAGGAGGATGTTCTAACTTCCTGCTGGCTTCTCCATTGACTTTCCTTGTGGACAGCTGGCAAGGGATGTTAGGCCATGGCGGCGCTCTGGCTGCCAGTCTGCCAATAAACTTGGTCTGAAGACTCTTGAAATTTCAATTCCACGGGCCTCCTGGGTCCCAGATTTTGGATGCATTCTTTAAGTTAGCTCATTTGAGGTACTTCGATTCAAAATTGTTGTCCTATGATGCACCATTTTGCTCCTTTGAAGGTTACAGATAAATAGAGCTTTAGTATTATTTCTGTTTTGTATTTGCTGGTTTGGTAGAATATTTGGAAGGAGTTGGTTAACAGAGGTAATGTAGGGATGCAATGGAGTGTGCACTGAAAATACGTACCCCCTCCTTCTCATAAAGGACATGCTGGCCCGTTTGGCCGAGAGATGTATTTTCACCAGGCTTGACTTGAGGAGGCATATTACCGAGTCCAGATCAAGGAAGAATTCACAGTAATGCCGTTTGCTCTGCAAGGAGCTCGGGCAATGTTTATGCAATTAATTAACAAGCTCTTACATGAGCATTTATATAAGGAGGACTCATATATCTTGATGACATCCTGATTTACACCAAAACCATGGGATGAGGCCATGGTCTTCCCACAGTCGCATGCCCAGCCTGTTTTTTCCCCACCTCGTCTTGTTCAGATGAGTAATGTTGTGGAGAGGAGTAGCATGGAAGCCTCTCTGGGAAGAGACAAACCAGCCTTCATCTTGCCCTGGAGTTGAAGGGGGTTCAGCAAATAAATTATCAGCTTGCCGTTGTGTTGTGATGGCCTCACTTGTCATTGTGGACATTCTCCTCAGGGCTTTTGCCTCCTTTTCAGTTTTGTGGCAGTCTCTCTGTTCTGATCCCCAAATCTGTCTTTCCATCATGAATGTCTACATGGAAATGTTGTAGATAGCAGTTTGGTGGACACTCCAGGCAGGAGACAAGCCAGCCATCTCCTGTGTGGACCCCACTTGTAGCAGAATCAGCTGGCCTGATGGACCTGGACTCCTTCAGAGTTTTCAGTTCTCTGTTTGGAAAGGAGTCACAAGTCACAAATCACAACTGTGGTTGCAGATTAATCCACAAAATGCAGATTTCCATTTTCCTCACAGATTTGTGCTGGGAGGAGTCCAGTGTGTGTTATTCTAGTAGACTTTGGATTATGACAAAACTAACAAGTATGGCTTTGCATTCCAGTCATGTCCTGGTGACAAGACTGTTTTTCTGCATGCATTCTGAAATGGAATTGATCTCAATTATGCTTTCATTGGAAAGGTCAAGGCATTTGTCGAGGATGCCAGATTAGCAAGGTCTCCTGGAGGGAAATTGGAACCATCAGGAATCCATGGAGCAGCTCTTGAAGGCCTAGATCAAGCAGAAGAGCCCAAGGATGCTGTTGGTCCCTCCAGTCCAGCTGGTCCCGCTTCTCATTCTGCCTTCCCTTCCTTCTGCAGATCTTTCCTTTGGTGGCCTCCCACCAGGCTACGCCTACGATGTGGAGAGAACGGAAGAGCAGAGGCACCACCATGACATGATGCCCTTCATCGATGACTCCCCCTCCTCTTCACCCCATCTCAGCTCCAAGAGCCGAGGCAGTCGAGATGGCTTCTCGTCGGGGTCCCTGGAGTCTTCAAAATCAGTGAGTTGCTGCTATGTCGCCCTGGGGCAAGCCAGGGAGCTGGACGTTCGGCTTTGGGGGTACAGTTGCAGCTCTGTGGGGCCTGTAGCTGGGGGTGGGCTGCTGGGGGTTTGCAGGGTTTCAGGGGAGCCCCTAGCTAAGATTCTGTTCAGAGAACCCCCAAATTCCTCTCCTGGCTGGCACCCCTCCCCTCCCAGGAGTCCCCATGTGGGCCATTTTGGATGCAGGGAAGTGCAGGGCGGGTGCGAAGTCTCAGAGAGGGACAAAAACGGCTTCCCGGAAGTTCAGGAAGGCTGGAAACAGGCCCGTTTCTGGCTCCCAGAGAGCCTCCGGAGCCTTGGAAGGCCATTTTCACCCTCCCGGAAGCTCAAGGAAAGCCTCGGGAGTCTGGAGAGGGCAACACTGCACCCCCTGCTGTGGTGCAGGAGGCCAGCTAGGCCACGCCCACCATGGCCACACCCATTCAGCAACCGGTCGGGGAACCCGTCGCTCAAGTTTTTGAAGGCCGCCCTGCCTGTAGCATCTGCCCCTTTGTGCCAACGGAGGCGTTTGCCATGCCTGGGTGGATAGCAGGACCCAGGTCTGCATTCAGACTGGCCACCCTAATGATGATGCGCAGCACCTCCGGCCTGTAAGTCTGGGCATCCTCGCGCAGGGCCCTCTAATCTGGAGCGAGGGCAACCTCAGCCAGAGGTCCAGGAGCAACACAGGTCCTTGGAAATCTACTGAGGTGTTGGCTTAGTCAGGATATTTTGACCACTCAAACTGTCCTGGTGGCTTCACATAAAATAAAAACTGGCCCAAGGAGCAAAAGACCCAGGAGGAAAAGAAAGAGACGGTTCCGTTGGGCAGGAGATAGAATTCCATTTGCCGAATGAATCTGGATTCATTTCCTGCATTGCCACAACTTTTCTATATGTTTTCTCTGTTTTCTTACTTCCCTGTGCTGGGTTCAAAGCTCTTCCTTCCAGGCAGGAAGCGACTCCCCCCGCCCCAAAGTCCCCGGGTCTCCCTGAGGGCCTCCCTACGGCACCTGCACCCGCCTTTCAGACTTGTCCCCAAGCGAAGGAGCTGCGTCCTCCTTTCCTTCCCGTGAATTCGCTCTCTCCGGTTCCGCTCCCTGTGGAATTCTGTCCAGGTGGAGAAGGGAGTTTCGGTGTCATTTGGGACTCTGAATAAATCCAGATGTCAACTATAGAGAGGAAGAATTAGAGAGGCCACGGGGTTCACAGGCTTCTGCCCCGCTCCCCTGTGGTGCCTCTGCCAACCTGGAGCCGGGCCTCAGGGCTTCTTCCCCCGGGCACAGCTTTGTAGGTGGAAGGCAGAGCCCCAAGAGGGGGCAGGGGCTTCTTTGGCAGATGCCCTCCCCGCATTCTCTGCAGGGTTGAGCAAAAGCCCAAGGGAAGAGACCCCCCCTAGACTGAGGGGCACCCGAGGCAGCCCTTTGCGAGCCGTGCCATGCCACCTGCCCCGAGAGAAGGGGCACTCTGGGGACTGCGAGCAGTCCTGCCCCTTGGAGTTCCCCTGGCTCCTGGCTCCTTTTAATCTGCCAGGCTGTGTGCCCTGGGGGGTGGGGGGATTAGAGGAATAAGGGGGGGAGGGATGGGGAGGTTTTGCTTTGCAGAGACTGGGGGAGGGGGCGATCTTGCCCCCCAAATGGGGGTGTGGGGAGGGCTTACAATGGGACCTTGTGTGGGTGGCCTTGAAGTCGAAATCTTGCAGACTGAGGGAGTGACCCTCCGTGGGAGCTTTTGCCAGCCTTTTCCTTTTGTGCCAAGGCATCCCCTCCCCCCCCCCCCCCCCCCCGGCAGCTGGCTCCCTTCCTACCTAACTGACTAACCTTCCCCCACCCCACCCCTGCAAAAAAAAAGAAAAGAAAATTGAATTCTCCTTATTCTCTGCTGTTCAATGGCTTTGCTGGAATAGGCAGGCCCTTCCTGAGCTGAGCTGGCAAGGATGCCATTGGTGGGTTATAAATAGGCTGGTCTGCTTCTCTCCTCCTTCACCCCCCCCCCCCTCCCAAAAGCCCCCTGGCCGCCCCCTCTGAAGGGGGGAAGGGCCTTTCCCCCCCCCCCCCCCACCCTTTGGGGCTGGCCGGGCACATGTGCTGGCAGCATCCCTGGAGCTCCAGAGCGAATGGCACTCGAGAGCCCGGGACAGGGGGGGCTGGGGAGGGAGCCCTCCTTGCCCCCTTGGTCTCCAAAGATCTAGTGGGATCCAAAGTGTCTTGTTTGCTGGGGGGGGGGGTCCCTGGGGCTGCTTTCCAGGAGGGCCCAAACAATAAGGCTGGGGGTAGGGGAGGAGAGAACTGCCCTGGTCTCTCCTGGACCCTGCCCTCATCTTGGCATGGCAGCCATTACGGTGGATGGCCGGGCAGGCGGGCATGGCCCCCCCCCAGAGACAGCAGGGAGGGGGGCTGTGTGGGGAAGGGTCCCAGAGGGAGGAACCGGTCCCTCTCTCACGGGTCAGTCTGGATTTTGCTGACTCCCGCAAGGTCCAAGCGGGTCAGGCTACTAGCCTGCAGCCCTTGGATGCTGGCTGTGACCCCGTGCCTCAGTCCCCCCCCCTTTCCCCCCCCCCCCGGGGAGAGCAGCCCCTCCCCCCTCCTAGCTTCACTCTCTTTGGCTCCATTCTCCTTTCCGCCACCCCCTTCCCAAACCTTCCCTGTACTCGAAGGCCTGGCCTCCTGATGGCCCCCCCCTCTCCCTTCTGTTGGAAATAACTCAAGGCCAACCCCCTCCCAAAAAAACTTGGATCGTTGAAAACAAAGAGGATTTATTAAAAAGAAATATTAGACGGTTTGCAAACGCTGGCGGTCTTTAGAAGCTCAACAGACAGGTTCAAATCAAAAGCGACACCTTTAGAACCTCAAAACATACTTTATATACAGTTTACATACAGTTTCCTCACCCAAGTTCCCTCCTTCTTTGAGACTCACTGGATTTGCCCTCAGGTGTTGCAGCTCATCCTAGGATGTCTCCAGAGAGAGATTGGCCTCCTTCCGTTACGTTCTCCTCCGTACCTCTTACTTTGGCTGCCCAGGTGGCAACTTTTCTTAGCGTCAAGGAATGTAGCATCCCCTCATCGGGGCCTCTTTTTAACTTCTGAAGATACCGTTTTAAAAAGTTCATCATATACTACCATTTTTCCAAACAACACCCCCCAAACATAATAATAATAATAATATAAAAGGCATATACATAAGATAAAAATATAAAAAGGCTTAATGGAGCATGTCAAAAGTATAAAAGCAAAGCATGTATATACAGGGAGATATATTTCATTTGATAACAGATTTGACAAGCGTTGGAAGGGACCCTGCAGATCATCTAGTCCAACCCCAATTTGTGAAACCTTTAGGCCTCTTTGATACTATCTTATATTTGAATGTCCTCATTTCTTACACTTCCTCCAGAGCGAGCCAGACCTGGAAAAGGGTCTGGAGATGAGGAAGTGGGTCCTATCGGGCATCCTGGCCAGTGAGGAAACCTACTTGGGTCACCTTGAGGCTCTCCTGCTGGTAAGGGCACCAAGGGAGAGGGAGGGCTTATTTTCCAGCCAAGCGGAAGGGGGACCTGGGCAGGGACAACCACGGGGCTCCCTCCCCAGGGGGAACGACACGGGGCAGGCCCCGAGAAGCTCTCCTGCGTGGGCTCCATTCAGCCGCTTGGGAGCTGAGCCAGAAAGTGGCTGGGTTTTTTTTCCAGCTTCTGTGCCACGTCCTCAGGGCTGGGGCCATTCTGGCGATGGTTCTGGGTGGGGTGGGGGCAGCTGTTGTGCCACCCAGGGGGGAAGGGCTGGGTGGGTTGAGCGCTGCCCCCCAAGACCTGCGGCCTTTCCTCAGGGGTGGATGGGTGGGTGCTGGAAGAGGCAGGCCGATGCCCAGGAAGATGCCCCTGGGCCACTGAGGGCCTGTCCGGCTCTGCCTCTCGGCTCTTTTCAGCCCATGAAGCCTCTGAAAGCGGCGGCCACCACCTCCCAGCCGGTCCTGTCCAGCCAGCAGATCGAGACCATCTTCTTCAAAGTGCCTGAGCTCTACGAGATCCACAAGGACTTCTACGACGGGCTCTCCCCTCGCGTTCACCAGTGGAGCCACCAGCAGCGGGTGGGCGACCTCTTCCAGAAACTGGTGAGCAGGACCGGGGGTGTTGGGGAGAGGGGGCTTTTGCTTGGCTCATTGCCAACTCTAGGGGGCGCTGCTCACACACCCCCACCCATTCCAAGGCTGCTGTTACCTGCCCACCAGAGCGGCACCCGCTGCCTTCACCCAACCTGCCTCTCCGTGTTTTTGAACCGCTTGGTTGGCAGGACCGAGAGTCCTTAACTTCAAACCACCATTAGAACTGGAAATCCGGATGGAAGTCATGATTGGAAACGGAGACTCCCCCATGACCCAACTGGTTTTTCTGATATTTTTCACAGTGGTCATTAAATGAAGAGTTATGAAGTGAACAGTGCAGTCATAAAGCGAACCCATTCTTCCAAATGGTGGGCGCTTCAATTTTGTGCTGAAACTGGCAAAAGGGGTGCCAATCAACCACCGGTCATAAATGCAGGCTGGTTGCCACAGGATTGTGAAGGGGGGGCGGGGAGGCATTTTACAATGTCAGAAGTGCTTTATGGGCCATGAATCTCCTACTCCGAGGAGGCCATCCGGTTGCAGGGGCTGCCCCGGTGGTGCCATGTGGGCCAGCACTCCCACCCCCAGGTGTAAAGCATTCCTCAGTCGCTGCGAGTGGGTCGGCCTTGCCGGACTGTCGTTCGTTCTTTCCCGAAGGAAGAGCAGGCAACTGGCCAGCTTTCGACCTGCAGGACCTTCCCATCAAAGAGGGGCCTCCTCCTCCTGGGGGTGCCAAAGGCAATGGGGCCAGTCTGGGGCCGGTGTCTCCCCCTTCTGGCCCAACCATCGGTTTGGGGGCACCTGCCAGGGCGGGCAAAGGCATCTCGCCTGGAGGGGTACTCCGCTGCCCCCGATCCCTGAGCGGGTGATGGCTGCTGGCGTCCGTCTCTGGGTCTCATTCCGCCTTTGCCCCCCACAGGCCAGCCAGCTGGGAGTGTACCGGGCCTTTGTGGATAATTACGAGGTTGCCATAGAGACGGCCGAGAAGTGTTGCCAGGCCAACGCGCAGTTTGCAGAGATCTCGGAGGTGAGCGAAGCCGGGCGACGTGCGCGGGGTGTGTGCAGAGCCCTCGCCTCTTCCTGCACAATGGCCGCCCGCATGGGGTGTATGTGTCCTCGTAGGGATCTGATGCGACTCCTCTGCCTCCACCTCGCCTGGGTTAAACCCACAATGGAGCTGGTGGTTGCAGGTTCTACGAGTCTCTCAGCGGTGAGGATGGCCAGAAGCCCTGGTGCAGGGGGGGGGCTTTTTCCTGGCATACACCCCGCCCCCCCAGGGACCCTCTACAGAAGCCAAATAATTTGTGGGCTGTTATTGGAACCTGGGAAACCTGGCCTGGATTTTGACCCATCCCAACTCAAGTTTTGGCTGTGGGAGGAGAATGGACTCCCTTTTTCTCTTAGCCAATAAAGGATTTCAAGAATTCCTCCCAGGGTGGCTTTTATCAGATAAATACTTTCCCTCCAAGCAAAATCCTGCCTCCCCCCCCCACCAATTACCTGCAAGGTGAGATAGCAGAGGGCCCAAAACCTTCCAGAAATCCCTCAATTGGGCTTGAAGGACACTTGAGAGCAGATTGAGGTCCAGCAGCGCCTGCTCTTTCGTTGGCCTCCAGGGGCTGCTTCTAAGGCACCGAGGCCTCCCTGGCTTCCTGAAATCCCAGCTGGTTTCTCTGAGCTACTCCTTGAGTGCCCCCCCCCCCCGCTAAATTGCAGGGGAAAACCTGCATGGAGGTGGTGGCCACCATTAGGACAGGAAGTGTAACCTCTGAGCTGTTGCTTTCTGTGCTGGAAGATCGTGTGGCTCATCTGACGCGAATCAGGCAGCATCTGTTGCCAGACGAGGAACAGCTGGCAAGTCCGCGATGCAGGCTGAAGAAAGTTAACCTGAGCTTCATGAGTCTCGCTCATCTTTTGCAGAACCTCCGAGCTAGAAGCTCCAAGGATGCAAGAGACCAGACAACAAAAAACTCCTTGGAAAGTAAGTCCTGTGGTACCCCGGTGGATTTGAGATTTGGGCTGTGCGGACAACAACAATCCCACCCCACCCTGGAAGGAGCTCCACGTGGGGCCAGGGGTTGCACTGTTTTGCTTCGTGTTTTGTTCTGCAAGGACGTGTATAAGAAGGGCCGACTGCTTTGGTTGGGTTTTTTTTGTCTTTTTTGGATCAGCCAAATTGCTAACTGTTAGAATGACCTTGCAAAAGGGGGGACTGCCTCCCATAGCAATCCAGGGTGCAGGGAATGAGAAGGGCTTGGCTAGCCGTGGAGTAGCAGAGGTGAATCGCAAAGGATATTGCAGCAGGCCTATTCGTCAAAGAAGGGGTTTTTCTCACGAGCCATCTTCTGCTTAGGACCCCTTTCCTCCTCCCTTTGGATGGTTTTCCTCCCCAGAGAATTGGGTTGCCCTACAGCTTCTATTTCTCCTTTACTTCCCCATAGCTCTCCTCTACAAGCCGGTGGATCGAGTCACACGCAGCACGCTTGTGCTCCACGTAAGTTGCCGTGAATATTCCTTGCCGTTGGCTTTTCTGCTGGAAATCGGGGGGGGCTGCTTCGTTTTCAGAGAAGTCAGAGCACACCAGCAAGAAATAACACAAAGGGGGTGGCAAGAGCGACCAGACGTGCAGGAACGCAGGGGAGCAAAGCACAGGTGTTCCCATCACCTGACATGCTCCACGCCGCATCCTTTTGGCCGAACGTGATGGCTGCTTCGTACAGCGCAAGTAGAGGTTGGGTTCCCACAGCACACTGGGTCGCATTCAAATGACTCCTGGTTGGGGTAGGAGAGTGAGGGGCAGGCAAGACACCCCAGGAGAAGAAGTTGGGGTGGAGGATCTGTAAAAGCAACACTGCTGACAGGAAAAGAGGCTGCCTTGAAGGGCTTGGAGCATCAGGGCGCCTGTGCAGCTACTGCTCCACGCAGAGCCACAAATCCCACCCCATGGAGAATCCCTGGGCTTGGTCACTTGTGCAGGTTTTCTTCTCGGCTCTGAGCTGAGATGAAGCAAGATGTCAAGATAACTCCAGCTCTGGCTTCCTGGCGCTTCAGGTGCAATGGTTAGGAGGAGCAGCGTAGGAGGAGAAACACATCCGAACGGACTGGGACCCGTGAGAGGGAGGTCATGGGGTGGGGGGCTCAAGCAGGCCTGGGCAGCCATCTGTCTGGGAGGCTCGGTTCCTCCATGGAGGAGGAGGAGGAGGAGGAGGAGTCTGGATCTAAGCTTTGGGTTAGGCAGGAAAGCCTTCAGGAGTGAAGCCCCCAGACTGCCAGGGCTGCGCTCTGAGGGTCTTTCTTCTCCTGACGGGCAGGATCTGCTGAAGCACACCCCATCCAGCCACCCCGACTACCTGCTCCTGCAGGACGCCCTGCGCATCTCCCAGAACTTCCTCTCCAGCATCAACGAGGAGATCACGCCCAGGAGGCAATCCATGACTGTCCAGAAGGGGGAGGTGAGTGCCCAGCTGGCGCCTGGCACCCGCTTTGCCCAGCGAGGCAGGCCGCCTTTGGCCAGGTTAGCAGGACTTCCCAGAAGGGGTGACCGCTTGCGGCCTGCAAGAGCTCTGGTCGGGCAGGAGGCCGTGCTGGGGCCGGAGACAGACCCGTCGCTCTCGCAGGCCAGCCGCCGTTTCTGCTCCCCGGCTTTGGCTCTTGAGGTGCACTCGGTTGGCAGCCGCCTCCTTTCTTGCCAACGATATGGCTGCATGTTGAACCCCTGGAGGGCAGCGAGGCCCTCGGCCCAGCAGCACCTGGCAGTCCTTGCGAGGAGGGGGCAGCCTCCTTGGGGTGGGGGTGGGGCGTATGAGCCGGCCTGACTCAAACGCTGGACTCCCTGGAATGAACGCAGCCACCCAGCTTGGCTCAGCGGCTGTTTCCCCTTTGCAGAGGGGATTATAGGGCGCAGGGGAGAAAGAGGGGCGGAGGGGATCCCCTCTAAAGGGCAGCCAGGGATGGGCTCTTGGGCACAAGGGACCCCAGCCTGTTGGGGCTTGGGGAAAAGCTGAGAGCCGAGCCAGGCTTTGGGCTCTCTGCGTGGCCTGCAATGGGCCAGGCGCCCCAGCCCAGAAGCCCCGGAGAAGCCCCTGCCTGCCCAGGGTCCACACGTCCAGGGTGGGAGGGGGCCAACTTCCCGCAGGGACTGAAAAGGGTGAAGGGAGCCTGGAGAGTCATCGGAACGGAGCTAAACCAGGACAAATCCCAAGGATTTTGGCATATATGACTTTTATTAAAATTATATTGGATTATGAACAAGAAGATAAAAGCACCCAACACAAACCAGTAGAAAGAAAGAAAAAAAGGAAAAAAGGAAAGAAAAAACATAAAGTACAGATCAACTTAAGATCACAAATGGAGCCAAGATTTTGCTCCATTTTACGACCTTCCTTGCCACGGTTGTTAAGTGAATCACTGCAGTTTTTAAAAGTTAGAGACACAGTCGTTAAGTGAATCCGGCTTCCCCATTGGCTTTGCTTGCCAAAGGGGATCCACGTGACCCCAGGGCACTGCGACCGTCCTAAGTATGAACCACCCATTGCCGAGAAGCACCTGGATTTTGATCAGGAAGCGGCAGTGATCGTGTGGGAAACGGCCCTCTGTTCATTGCCACGGTAACTTTGAACGGCCACTAAATGAACTGTTGTAAGTCGAGGACTATTTGTAGTGGTTCCCAACATTCTTCACAGCAATTATAAGTATGAATATATTTTACTCTCTTTGTCTGTGAAGAGTATCATCACCTGGACCGTCTTTCTACAGTCTGTCCCCTCTAATTGTCAAAACCATCGTTCACAAATTCCTTTTTTTTTTTTTTTGTCTTTATGGAAAAAGTCTATGAAGGGCTTCCAACCAGCAGTGAATGTCGGTCGTGACTTTTTTCTGATCCAAATAAGTTTTTATCCTTTTCAGCAAAATCGCAATTTTATTTATTTTTTATTTATTAAATCTCTGTGACTCTTCACCAGTCTCTCCTCCCTAGGGCCTCCATCTCTCTCTACCTCTGTGCACATGGCAATCTCACTGCTGTGGTCATATACCGAAATAGTCTTCCAAGGATTTTTTTTCTAACCGTCCATTAATCCTAAACGTTTTGGCTTCAATTTAATATTCATCTTTAAAATTCCCTGTTTCAAAATCGGTATTTGGATCCATTTTTAAAACTTTTTGCAAGTTTACCAGGCATGATAAAATATTCCTTTTTTAAATATTCCATTTTAAAAACTTTTTGCAAGTTTACCAGGCATGATAAAATATTCCTTCATGTCATCCATCTTTCCCACATACATTTGAAGTGCCTTTATACATTCTAGATCAGCGGTCGCCAACCAGCGGGCCATGCCCCACTGGCGGGCCGCGAGAAAATTTTGGTGGGCCACAGAGAAATCTCACTCCCAGAGCAACCCCCCAAAGCAACTAACCCAGGCTGCGCAGAAACACAAAGCTGCACCGCCCACATGGCCCGCGGGAACCCTCCCGGCCCACTCACTCCTTACCTGGCAAACTTGCCTGCTAAATTGCTATTTTTCCTTTTTCCGACCATCATCTGTTCTGCTGTGCTGGGAGATTTAGATTGGCTAGAAAGCAGGAAATGGTTGGATTTCTTGCTTTCTAGCTAGTCTTTAGATCTTCGGCTCTGCTTTTAAGCACAGCCGAACCTCTCTTAGGACTAAAGCTTCTATTATTCAGTGCAGACTCACGGCAAGCAAATTTTATGTGACAGGCTGAGCTAGCCGATGGCAGATAAATAGATCACTGAATGGGTCTGTGATTCTGTGAGCAACTCAATCTACCTGCCTGCTTTGCCTGATTTTGGGTAAAAGTTGTTCTTTTTAAATAAAAAATTCAATATTTATATAAATATTTATAATATTTACATACAAGCCATGCCCAGCCAGTCACATGACCACCAAGCCACACCCACAAATTATGCCATGCCCACAGGACCAGTTAGTGGTCCGCGGGATTTAAAATTATGAGTTTGGTGGTCCCTGAGGTCCAAAAGGTTGGAGACTCCTGTTCTAGATAATTTATCTGTCCTCATTTAGCAACTTATATCATTTTATTTTTAAAAAATCTCTTTGGGATCATAATACAATGTCAGTTTCAACTCTTAACCACATAATTTCCAGCTGTAAATTGCAACCTTATCATACCTTCTTTAACCTGCTTTCCTCTGCAAATACATGTTCATACACAATTGCATTTGAAATTTTGGCTTACTTTGCTCCGTGCCACAAATCTTTTTATCCATTTTAAGACTTTCAGATAATTGTAAATGGGACAGCCGTTGGTAATCGCAGTATATCCTTCCGCTATTAATTGTTCTCTTGATCTGAAGTTTAAATTCCCCTTGATAATTTTCCAATAGGTCCCAGTATATCCAACATTTATTTGCTATTTTTCTTCTATAATATGGTGCTTAAACTGAGACCCATGAAGGGGTTTTTGGACACAACCTAGCCAGGAATTCTGTTTTTAAAGCCAGAAGCCGGTCTCTAAAACTCCCCTTCACTCGGACATGTTTTAAAAGAGCGTTTGTGTCAGCACTGGCAGAAGCAGCCTGGGAGTCTGGCCAACTCTCAGTTACTCCTCCACCCAGACTTCAGCTCCATTCAGGGCAGAGTTTATCCCCCTTGGCAACCTGAAGAGATGTGGACTTCAGCTCCTAGAGCTGGCTGGAGAATTGTGGGAATTGAAATCCACACCTCTTCGAGCTGCCACAGCGGAGAAGCCATGGTTCAGAGAGTTCTTGCGTACGGGTGCCGACGTTTATCTGTATCTGTCTTGAGATTGCAACTGATGGCCTTCGGTTTGCTCCAGGCTCTGGGTGCCAAATCGTTGTCCCCAAAGGGTAATTTCTGAGTCGTGGGGAGGTCTTGGAAATCTTCTGATCAACTGCTGCATTTGAAGCATTTTCGCCTCAAGAGCGAGAACGGGGCTTCTTGGCATTCTAGGGAGCAGCCCTCTAGTCTTTCCAAGTATCCCTGTAGACCTGAAACTGCTGGAGAGTTGGGGGGGCTGGGGGGGGCGGCTGGCGAGCAGAGCAGATGCAGCACAGATGAAACTTCTGTGCACTCTCTGCCCCTCCCTTGCAACCCGTTTTGGCTTTGCTTCGTTCGGACAAGCATGAACCAATAATAAAGCTGCAGGACTGGTACTTTCTAAAGCTCTGTCTATGGTCCATTTGCCACAGGCAGGAAAATAGGGAGTTTTGCATCCTGAACTCCATTTAGCTGAGAAAGTCGGCTCTGCAGGCTGTTCTCATTTGTGCAGCCCTGGAGCTTTTGAGGGAGGGCACAGGAGGAAGCTCTGCTTGCCAGAGTTCGGTTACCAATGAATGCTTGGAATGTCGCGCATGGACGGCGCTTGGGGAGTTTGCTATGTTGGTGGCCTCGGAAATGAATTGAGCATGCTGGATGGCAACCTCAAGGGTGTTTCCTGAAGGGGAGTTTGAAGATTAACAAGTATTTAACCAGAGATACTTCCCTGAAGCTTGCCTGGAGGGTCTCCAAGAGCACTTCTGCTTCTAACCCTAAAAGCTTCTTGCTGGCCATAATTTTGATCTGCTGAAAGGGGAAACTTAATAATCGCTGCATAAACCACCAACCGGCGTCCAATGGTCCAACCGATTTTGACCCATCCACTCTGGTGGGCTTGCTCCAAGTCCCATTAGCCAAGGAGTGGCTGCTTTGGGGCCCAGGAGGCCTGCTTTTCTGCCCTAGAGACCTGCCCCAACTCCGCCAACCTTTCACAAAGCTTTGAAGAGCTGGCTTTTGTGCTTCAGCCTAGGGCCCCAAGTGGGTTAGGGGCTCCATTTCCTGTTTACCTTAGCCTCTGTGGATTATAATTTTACTCAGATGCTATGCTTGTTTGTTCGTTTTTCTATTGTGTTTGTGATTAATGTGATGATTGCTCACTTCCCAGAGTCATTTGTTTGAGGGGGGGTGGCTATAGAAATTGAACAAACATTTCCTCCCACCCACCCAAATCTAAGGTTATTCCAAGCCCGGGTATCTCATTTCTATCAAATGCCCCAGATTCACCTGGGGCAACTGATTTCGAGAACATCACTCTTTCTTTCCCTTGCACCTAGCCGAGTCCCAGTTGTGTATCTCTTTGACACCCAGTGTGCCTTCACTCGCTGTGTTTGTTCCTGGGTTGATCTTCTCTGGCCTGCCTTTGCCGCTTAGAGGGAAATGGGATGCACAGTTCCCTCCACTTCAGCCATTACTTCCACTTGGCCGGTTGACCAAGGAAGCGTGAGCGGAGAGCCCCAAAAGGAGACTCTTCGGCTCAGGGAACATGATTCCTCAGAGTGTGGGAATAATGGGTTTACGCCATAGGGAAACCGATTCCATCTGCTGTTTTGTTGTTGTTGTTCTTTAAAAAAAACCCTCATAGTTTCTACCACCCTTCCCTAAAGATAAGATAGGCCAGATCCACACCCCTCCAACTA